TATGTATCTTGCATGTACATATATGTATTTATATTTAACTATGTATCCGTAGGTCTGATGTGGAAACTCGTATCACACATATTCGACCGCAATAGTTGTATTCACAACGCATACACAGCAATATTATATATCTGGCGCACATGTCATTCGTAATTAGTTTTCACTAACGTTTCTCAACCATGTTAAAACTTTTATAAAATTTCTATATTTTAATTATTTTACTAAACATTTTATTTAAATTACATTATTTTATTTATATAATCTACATAAACTTTAGTTATTATGATATTTACAACAAGGTTAATTTATTTCACAATTTAATACATATTTTATTTTCTATATTTTCACATTTTACATTAGGCATTTACTTTAATTAAATTATATGTTTAAACAATAGTTAGGCTCTGAAGATGGCATTACGCCGAAACAGCGCTGTTAGCTTTATTCCAGTTTTAGATAAATATGAACTCAAACAATACCGCCTCGTTGAATGTCTTATAAAGAAGTTAATTAATGCAAAATGGGCAAACAATTTCAATGAAATTTGCATATATATATGTGTAATAGAATAGTATAGAAATGTATATGTATATATATATATATATATAAATATATTATATATATATTATATGTATAGAAATGTATATGTATGTATATATATATATATATATATATATATATATATATATATTATTGTTATCAAACACTTATAAAGCGCCTATTAAAATAAATATCTCTCACAAGCGCTATCGAAAAAAGAAAAATAATAAACGAACAGTGAAATAATGTACATCCTATCAATAGACGATATGATACAATCAATTACAATCGTTCATCGCAAATAGATAAGTTTTCAAATTCTTTTTGAAATCAACAATGTTCATCTTTGACATTCTCATCGACACTGGCAGACTATTCCAGACGATTGGTCCCGACACTGCAATGTCTCTAGACGATGTCTGCAGCTGCGTAGTTGGTACAATCAACAAATTGACGTCATCTGATCGCATGCGTCTGCCAGTCGAAGACAGCGGCTTCTTTATGAATCTATCAGCCAGGTATTCTGGGAGTTGTCCGTTAATGGCCATTTACGTACTTACATTAGGTACTTGGGAAAAACGAAAAGTATCAATTACATTAAATACATCAGCTGTATACAGTATGAACAAAATAGGTCCAAGTATTGAACCTTGTGGCATTCCGGATGACTTTGTTTTTACACTAGACAGATGCCCTTTGAAAAATACCTGTTGAGTCCTTCCAGTCAAATAGGAGTCGAACCACTTGATAACAGTTCCAGCAATGCCAAAGTCGTGAATTAATCTGTTCAATAGAATTTGATGATCAACACAGTCAAACGCTGCACTCATGTCCAAAAATGCGAGTAGAGCAATATTCTGTTTGTCGATGGAGGCAAATAATTCGGACAAGAAATATAACAATGCCGTCTCTGTAGAATGGTAACGTTTATATCCAGATTGATGAATCGGGAACAAATTATGTTTATTTAAATGATTTACAAATTCACCTATTACGACACGTTCTATAATTTTGGAGATGAAACAAATGTTAGATATTGGTCTGTAGTTTCCGAGCTCATTAAAATCTGCGTTTGTTTTTTTAAGATGGGTATCACAACCGCATGCTTGCAAGAAACAGGAAGTGCTCCAGCACACAAACATAAATTAACTAAACTTGTGAGAAACGAGATGAAGAGGTCTATATGTTTTTTCAAAATGTGAGTAGGAAGGACGTCTAACATGCAAGATTTAGATGGTAGATTAAGAACAATTTTTTTACATCTTCTTCTGAAACCACTGCAAAATTTGAAAACAAAGAACCACTGTCTAATTTACATCCATCAAAAACTGGTTTGTCAACTACTTTGGTGTCTCGTTTTATTTTGTTGATTTTTTCTTCAAAATGATCAATAAATTGAGAACAAGTGATGTCTACATGTTCCTGAGACGATTCATTATCATAATTTTTGCAAATGATTTTATTAATTACTTTCCACAAATTTTTAGGGTTTCCGTTGTTTTCCTTTACCAGTGTTTTCCAATAACAATTTCTTTTTTAGAGAAACATTTAGTTTTATTTCGCAAAGCAGCAATCCACTCACTCCGACAGGCAGATGATAAATATTTTCTATATTTCCTTTCTTTCTGTCGACAAAGTTTTTTAACTGCTCTGCATTCATCATCAAACCAAGGAGTTATCAAATCGCATCTGTGTTCTATAAAGTGAAGAGGCGCAACTTTATCAACAATTTTCTTCATCTCATCATTGAAAAGTTCAAATTCAAAATTTACGTCGTTACTCTGACATGGCTTTGATAACGGAGAATTTGCAACATACGAAAAAAACAGATTTTCATCTAGTTTTCTCCACGATCTAGCTAATCTGCGAACTTTTTTAAGACATATTCGTTTAATTGGTATGCTAACATGTATCAAACTGTGGTCGGAGTACACACCACTAGGAAATATATTACTAACTGAAACATGAAAATTTTCAGAACAAACAACCAGGTCGAGTGTTCCACTTTGTTCGTGAATTGGCTCACTGATCAGGTTGGTTAAATTAAACGTTTCAAATAGATCAAGAAGTCTGTTTGCGTGACGATCATTGCGTCTTTCAATGTGAACGTTAAAATCACCAACCAACAATATGCTCGAACTTAGGAGTGTTATGTTATCTAAAACTTTTGACAATTCTTCGAAAAATAATGCATTCACTTGAACTGAACCAGGTCTGTATAGAGATAACAAAACAAAACCTTTACTGTTTATAACAAATTTGAGAGCGACAACTTCGAACGTGTCAAAAGGAGGCAGATCAATCTTTTTATATTTGAAGTTTGATTTAAAGAATACTATTATTCCCCCATGATGCGGATCATTCAACCTCAAAAAATCAACATATCTCCCCATGATGCGGATCATTCAACCTCAAGAAATCAACATATCTAAACCCAGGTGGCAATAAATCCTCAAGAACCTCAAGAAATCAACATATCTAAACCCAGATATACATCGATGACTTTACTGATACATTTTCTGTTGAACCATGCCACGTTTCTACCAAAACAAGAATGTCTAAGCCGTCTTGAATCATTTCGTAAACTTTATCCGAGTTTGAATTAATTGATCTAATGTTTAACATTCCCAGCAATACATTACAATCACTCATCACATCATTTCTAGACATCACCTCTTCCGTGCTTATGCTACTGGTGTATTTTGTTTCGTTTTCATTGGAAACGACACTATTTTCCATCTTCCAACCGGTCCTCTGACCCGGAATAAAAAACCTCGTTTATCATCAGATTCCAATTTCTTAGCTTTTTCAACCAGCATCTTGTATTCCTGTCTTTGTTCTTTTGTTAAGTCATCGCTTAGTCCAATGCCTGCATATTCTTCAGCCAGTGATTTTATTTTATACACGTTTTTCATTATTAAATTTTTGATCCCAATATTTTCAAGTTTTACCAACAAAGGTCTGATTTTATTTTCATCCTTCTTACCAAGCCGTGTTATCTTAAGAATATTTTTTTCCGTTACATCATCTGTTAAGTTTTTAAATATTGTCTCAACATTAGCACGATCGTTTTCGCCCTCTTTTAAGCGAAATATAATCAAGTTTGTTTCTTTCTCCTTTGTTTCATTCACTTCAGCAAGAGTTTTCTGTACTACCTTGACCTCATTGTTGATGCCGTCTACATTTCTCTTTACAATGCTTGCAAATGTAACAGTCATTTCTTTCTTCATACTATCGATTTCACTGCGAAGACCGTCGTCAGAGCATTAACCTGACTAAACTTGTTTTCATTCGAGTTTATAATTGATTTTATGTTTTCAATTTCTGATTTAACCATCATGTTCATTTCGTCCAGTTTATCTATTTTCGACAACATTTCGTCTCTATTTACATCCAATTTTGCTAACATTTCATATCTACTGGTATTGATTGATTTTAACAACGAATTCATATCAAATAGCTGATCTAAACAACTTTCACAAAACCATTTCAGGCTGCTGCAAATCTTTAAAAAATCTTGAATATTTTCAGAAAACTTTGTGTTGTCATTGATGCATTTGACGTGTGTGATACATTCACAACGACTGCAATGTATAGCCTCTTTAGCAGGAACAACTTGCGTACATTTAACACATTTACGTAGAGGAATAGTTGTAGAAGGCTTTATAGCCTGATAGCACAAACACGTGCCTCAAGCGAAATTCAACTTATTACGATTAACTAAATAACGAAAAACCGAACTATTTAAAACTAGATAACTTTGAAATTAATTACTATGATGAATTCAACAGAAACGATTAGCGTTGATTAACAGAAAATCCTTCAAAATCGATTAAAATCAAAAATATTAAGCATAAGTGAAGAAACGTGCTATCGATGCCCATATATATATATATATATATATATATATATATATATATATATATATATATATATATATAACATAATACCTATACACACACTTACATAGACAAACACACACACATACAAAAAAATGTATTTAGCGGTATACACGTTTATACATAAACTTACATAACATACAATCACACAACCACACACACTCCCACTATATGCTTATAATAAAAATGTATGCACACATAAAAACAAATACACACACACAGATATATATATATATATATATATATATATATATATATAGACGCATATCACATATATAGATAGCCATATGTGTGCATAGTGAAACGCGGATTTGCAGTATAAATAGACTGGGACTAGATGCCCACGACTTAAGGGTATTTTTGAGTTTTAAAAAATTTACTGACACAAATTTATTTTCTTTGCATAGGTCTTCTTTTTATTGGTCAAAATTATTGTCCAGCCGATTTATTAAACTGCTGTCAAGTTGTTGACAAGGACGATGGCGATAACGTTGGCGATGATGATGATGATGATGACGATGATGATGATGATGACGTCATGTCGTCTCCTCGGCAACAAGAAGATGGTCGCCATTGGTTACAGACCTTGCCAGAATGAAGGTGACAAAATTAATAAAATTGGTTGATTGATTTGGTTTGCTTGGTTTGTCTTGGTTGTCTGTGATTGGTTGTTATTGGATCAGAATGGTTGGATAGGATTGGTTGTAATTGGATAGTTGGATGTGATTGGTTGTGGTTAATTAGAATAGTTGGATGTGATTGGTTGTGATTGGATTAGAATAATTGGACGTGATTGGTTGGGATTTGATCAGAATAGTTGGATGTAATTGGTTGTGATTGATTTGTTCGTGATTGATAGCTGTCGGTCTGCAAGTTGCAGTTGATTGTTGTTAGCTGCTGACGTTCAACTAAACTTTCAATGCGTTGTTGTTAGTGTTCGACATTCAGAAGCAGGCCTGTCTTGTCGCGTTGTATGTACGTACATGAGTGAGAGGCTGCTTTTGAAAACTTTTACTAATGGAATGGATTATATATCGTGTGGCTTGGCTCTTCTTGTTTGGATTAAATAAATTAATTATTTTTTAAATTCACATTTTTGAGCATCATTTGTATAATCAGGTCGTCATCATTTCGTTTTGTTGACTTTTGAATGCGGATTTAGAAGCGTTTAAACGAACGAAAAGAAATTTAATTAGTTCGATTTATTTTTTTCATATGAACAAACAACGTCGATATTATTGGTTTTGTTATTTCAAAATTCTCATTTCCGTCCGTCCTTTGCTTGTGCGTGCGTGTGTTTGTGTGTGCGTGGGTATGTACATCTTTGTCTTAATATGGGTATGTGTGCCTGGGTGAGTATGTATGTGTGTGTAGGTGTGTGTGTGTGTAGGTATGTGTGTGTGTAGGTATGTGTGTGTGTAGGTATGTGTGTGTGTGTAGGTATGTGTGTTTGTATGTGTGTGCGTAGATGTGTATAAGTGCGCGCGCGTAGGTGTGTGTGCGCGTGTGTTTGGTTGGTCATGTAAATACAGAGGGTGGTGATCACTTCTGCAAAGATTACTTTTCTTAGTAGTTATGTTTTAATGATTATTTGTAATGAGTATTTCTTAACCATTATGTTATAATAATGATTAATTTTTATTGATTACTTGCTAAGATTATTCCGCTATGATTAGACCATGTTGCTATCTTGTATTTAATTACAGGTAAAGTTGTAATGATTACATTTCGCAACGATTGCATTTCGTAATGATTACATTTCGCAAACCAATTACATAACATACACAGCAGCACTTGAAAAAACACACTACACAGCACTCATAACATAAACACTAGTATAACAACAACATATTAAACCCGAGATAAAAAAAAACAATGATACATAGAGATACCCAATTTTATACAACACAAGACAAAAAACAACATGATACAAAATATTCTTTCTCCAACATACCGTACCAAACATACAAAACATACAACTCTACAGGACATTACAACACACGAAACTTTACAAAATACATGTGGTAGCGATGTTTAATCCACGACCTGCGTATGCAACACAATATAACACTTCGTTATGTCTCCTGCGCTGATGACCACACCACACTACACCACACGACTCCCACCACATCGCATTCTCTCGCCCATCTTGCATTTTTCATTGAAACAACGAGAGAATTCGACAAACACCAAAGTTAATAAAACATGACGGAACCCCATAGATACAAAAATGCGCGATAATAGAGATGAATTAGAGTTCTCTGCAGTTTTTTGTCACCTGGACAACGAGCAGCAAATAAATTAGAGAATTTTATTTTAAGACCCACTGACGCGCTCTCCATGTTCCCTCGCGAATTATTTAATAATCAATAAATTTTACTTTTATATCAAATTAACCGTCCATGGGCAATTCCTGAAATGTTCCTACTTTCCGATCTATACAACTAACAGATGCCTGTTTTGATAGTTAGCAAGGAAACATTCGGCTGTCCATAGCGCAAAACATTTAACTGCAATATAACACTCTGGTATATGGAGTTGAATATACACATTTTAATAAAAATAATTCAATAACTAACAATTATTTTTTAAAAAAATCGAAATTTTTTTTAAGGTTGCAGAAACAATCATCTGAAATGGAACAGAGTAGTGTTGAACAATGAACCGTCAATAAACTTTCCAGACAAACCAACCAGCAGCAATCCAAAGCAAAGTGCTGACGATGGCGAGGGTTCGATATACTTCGGCGACAATGAAGTTGTAGTAGTTGGAGACGTGAGCAGCAGCGGTGGTGGCGATGACATCCTCTCAGCAGAAGCGAACAGCAACCACAAATATTTCATGCTACCGAAGTCGTTCATCCACAAAGAATATCTATCTAGCCCGAAACTGGCCAGTGATATGAACAAAAAAAGGAACGACGGTATGGCCACAACAGAAGCCATCAGCTCCGTGGAAAAATTGAACGAGGAGATGATGAAAAAATTAAAAGATGGAGGCGTAGACGGTGAATATGAAGACGTAGTGCTGTCCTACAACAACATGCATCCCCCTCTACATAATGATAACAACAACAACGACGACGACGATGATGAAGATGATGAAGGCGTACATTTGAAAGATGACCGGCTGAAGATGAAGATACTGATGAAGAGGTTCTCGAGTACGTCGGAATGCATACAACACTGTCTGACCAACGACACAAAGATCACATTGTTTAGATGCCAGCACATATGCCAATGATGACCAATGATGACCACAGATCGTGCCGGATAATTTCTTCCATAATAAACAATACTCTCAATTAACCTTTTCGTATCAACTAATAAACAAATGTATGAAGCATTATTTATTAATCTAATAAAATATTCATAAGAAAGAGAAAATGGCATACGAAAGCTACTCAGAATAACACGAAAGGTATAATAATGATTATAACATTATTACTAATTAGTAATAGAAATGATAACGTGCTACAAAGAAAAATACAAACAAGAGTCTTATTGAAATGCTTACACAAATGATAAATAACAAAGAGAAAAAGTTACATAGTTCACTTACTTAATAATAAAAAATTATATAAAAATTATTTTTATTTAAAATTCCGAAATACAAAGAAAAAATTGCTAGAGAGAAGTTTCAATAAAATTGAAGCAAATATCAATAGGCAAATGTCAACGCTGGAGAAAGAATATTAAGAAAGAATATTTTAGAAACAATCACAAACAAACAAATTAATATTATGTAACCAAATAAATAGTTATAACTTTATAACGGAACGTAGTCTACAACTAAGTTAACATTATTACCAGTACCAATATTAGATAAACAAAAATATAAAAATTATTAAATAAATAAAAATTATTAAATTAATTAATTAATAATATAATAACGATAATTAACTAAACTATATTAAAAATAAGAATGTAATCATATAAAAGTTTATGAAAATGAATTAATAATAAAAATTAATAATAATACTGTTATAGAATAACTGATAAATAACGTTAATAAAATTTATGAATGAATGAACGAACGAACGAATGAATGAAATGAACGAATGGAACGAACGAATGAATAAATGAATGGGTTAAATTAATTAAAACTTATTTTAACATCCAAAAAAATTAATAAACAGAACAAATAAATAATTTTTATTAATTTATTACTTAATTTTTTTACAGTTCGCAGAATGAATAATTAAATAATTAATTGATAACAAACTTAAGAAGTACATATATAACATCATACCAATTAAAAATAAATATATATATATATATATATATATATACAATGTATATATTATATATACATTATGTATATATAATATATATATGTAACCTGTTTTAACTTATTCAAATACCATGTTGTCTATATTTAATTAGAAAATTTAGGCACGAAATAATTATTTTATATACAGAAACACCAAATTTTTAATGTAACATTAGTTACATATATGCATATATTTATTAACATTAGTTACATATATACATATATATGTATGTAACATTAGTTACATATATACATATATGTATGTAACATTAGTTATATATATACATATATGTATACATGTGTGTTAGGTAACAGGGAGATCGAATTTGACTTTAATGAATGAAAACTTTAAAAAAAATAAGAAGAAAGGTGAGAGAAGAACAAAGAAGAGAGAGAGAGAGAGAGAGAGAGAGAGAGAGAGAGAGAGAGAGAGAGAGAAAGGTTGGTTAAATGTTTTGTTATGGATAAAATGAATAGATATTAAATCACGAGTCAATTAATAAGTGAATATAGTACATACAGCTTGCCACCCATCTCGTCAATGTCATTAACAACAAATGATATAAAAGAATTAATTATCAAATGTTTTATCAAATGGCAAAATTTCTCGTAAATAAAATGCAAAAACAAATGTAGTTAGTTCATAAATATGTAACGTATAAAAATAACCCATCCGCTCGTTATAAAATCTCAGCAATAAAATTTCTCAATTATTTAAAATTATTTAAAATTTATAATTGTAAAATTATTATAGTTCAACAAGATGTAATAACACGAATGTTCAACGAATGTTGTATATTTACACATCAGTCAACGTTTAAGGGCAGCACACCGCATCACCGCTCCAAAAAACTATTCATACAAAAGTAGATACAAAAAGAAAAACAGTCAAACCGTTCACAATTTTTCATACTCTTCAGTTGAACATCATTCAAGCAACCAATCAAACAACCAATTAAACTATCAATCAAGCAAACAATCAATCAATCACTCAGTCAGTCAATCACTCAAATGATTAACTTTTAATATAAATCAGGAAAAATCTGTCTGAACTTCATTTTTTTCTTCTTGATTATGGATTCCTCGTAGTGGCCGCCCAGACCCTGCGAATGCTGGCCCACGTACGACCCGTCAGGCGAGGGTTCTGGCGACTGCAGGAACTTCAAAGTTTCTGCACTGGAAGGTGATGTCATCTGTCAGGGAGATATAATAAATATACTTCTTTAAACAGTAAAACTTGAAATGAATTTGAAAACACTTGAAGAAACTCAACAAAATGTTTGTTTAATGTATCATGGTTATATTCAACTGATATTGTCCGAGTACTACACACAACTATTTTAAACAACAAATAGCTCTTTAAGACATGCTGAAAAGCTTACTAACGCGGGTAATGTCTCCAAAATTAATTTTGAAATCGTCAGAGCTTTGATGATGCTTGGAATTCAAGTTGATCGCTCTCGGCGATGAATACACAAAACGATGTCTCGATCTCGGTCGGCAGATGATTTTAGAGAATGCACCCACCAATTGTGGTTTATCACCAGAATCTTCGTTGCATATGATACTGCTGCTGGCGCTGCTGCTGCTGGCGCTACTGCTGGTGCTGTCCTCACTGATGACTTTCTTAAAAACAACGTCGACGATATCCTCATCTTCCTCCTCACCATCGCCCTCAACTTTATCGAAGGTCCTCTTGTTATTGGGCGTTAGCGTGGATCTCCATATGAAACTGTCCTTCGTGTTCTTTGTTATTGGAGATGCTTCAAACTTCAGCTTGTTGCTGTCAAATGCAGTGTACAGATTGTCGTCATCGCTCGTGATAATGGTGCTGTTGCTTATTTTGTCGTTGATGTCGCAGCCGTTGTTGCTTGCTATGTCGTTGCCGTCAGTGCAGCTGTCGGTGCTCGCTTTTTCGTTGTTGCTGCTGCTGTCGGTGCTTGCATCACAACTGCTGCTGTTGCTTGTTTTGTCGCTGCTACTAATGCCGTTCTTGCTTAGTTCGGCATTTTTGCAGACACTCCTGCAGCTCGTCTTGTTTTTGTTGATGGTGTTGTCATCAATGTTAATGTTCTCCTTTTTATCAGAGTTAGTATCTTTTCTACCCTGGATAGCTCCAATAGCTCCCTAAATGTTTGTAAATTGTTTGTAAGTTCGATGCAGTGAACTCCCAAATCAAATATCAAACACAGCCACAAACACAATATACACGTAACATGGAAACCTGGCAGGCAACACAACAGAACACATCAACACAACATATAACGTACCAACGTCTCAACTATCTGCTCAGAAACCTTTGGCCTGTAGGACTTGTTTTTCTTTTTATCTGAATTCTAAAGAAAAATTCATTGAAAATAAATGCGCACATGTACTTCATCAAAGAAAAAATATAAGCAATGTATTGTTGAAACAAGTTATTAAAGCATGCATAAAAACATAGAATAAAATACATTGGTGAAGAGTCCAGTGGTCTTTACAATAGCTCTCTGCACTCCATGGGGGAAAGATTTTTTGCACGAGCCAACTGCATGTGCTTCACTTGTCCTCTGGCTCTGTTGTGTTGTGCTAGCAGGTTCTGCCAAGAAATGATCATTAAGTTGATCACCCGAGCACCTGGATGAATCACTATTTGAGATGTCTGCTTGACTGCAACAATCTGGGTTCAACTTCCCAGCTGGCACATGCTGGATAATTTCTGATAAAGAATTTTTGCTGAATTTCGGTTGGAAGACAGAGTGTGGGAATGAATTTTGAGTGGAAGTGGGTACAGCTGCTTGAGTGAAAACAAAATTTGATTTAACAGATTGAGTGGTGGTCTGCTGTTGAGCATGCGCTGACTGGATGTGAGGAAGACATGGAAATATTGAAGTGTGTGGTTGCTGCTGTTGTTGTGCTGAGCGCTGGTTCAACATTTGAATGACTATTGACAAATCCGATTCGCATCCATCATAACAAGCTGCATTATTAGGCACTGGCACGTGGCAAGATGGTACATTGATTGCCATTGGTTGGCTTGCGTTGTGGCAAGTTTGTAAGTCTGCAGTTGGTACGTTTAACTGATTGTAGGGATGAAGGAGATGATGATGATGTATATAAGATGGAAAGGGAGGTAATGTAAATGTTGGTGGAAGTGGGTAAATGAACTGTTGTTGTTGTTGTTGCTGCTGCTGCTGTTGTTGTTGCTGCTGCTGTTGTTGATGTTGTTGTTGTTTGGAGGATAAAACCCTCTGAATGTATTGCTGAGATTGTTGTATTGAACTGTTGAAGTTGTTCATCAACAATGAGGATGACGACGACGATGACGATGGTGAGTTGACATCACTATCTGCAACCTGCCATAGAAATAACAACGAATTAAAACGAATAACAAAGTACATAACAACGCAACAAGTTGCCGCCAACAACAAAAATAACAACAAACAACTCAAAATGTTGTGAGAGCTACCTGCTGAACTGATAGCATGATAGAGAGAAGCGCCAATTGGAAATGCAGACTGTCTATATTATTATTATTACTGTTATTATTATTGCTATTATTAGTTTTGTTATTGTTATTAAATTGTTTGTATTTATTATTGTTGTTGTTGTTAGGATTGTTGCGAGTGTTGTACGGGTGATCGAGACTGAAACGTTTGTTTCTGCTTTTGTTGTTCATAACTTTGCTCTGCCCTCCGTCAACTGCAATGAAATCAAAATGATGCAAGTAAGACAAATTAAGGCATACATAAATAATTAATTAAATTAATTAATTAATTAATAAAACATATGAATAAATAAAAAACAAACCAACAAATAAATTAATAAATAAATAAATAAATTATATTGTTATATACCTGCCAGAATGTTCTTTATATAGTCAAAGACAGTCATGAATTCTTGTAAAACTGAAATTTGTTTCACCATGAAGTTTTCAAAATATGAAAAGAAGTTACTAATTAAATTCTACACTTCATTCAAAAGTAATCACTCAAAACGGTTTAACTACATTACCCCGATGTAATCAGAGAGAATAGCAATCATCACATGTACATCACATGTATATCATTTTACATCATCATTATAGCATTACCATTAATATTAATATATAGACAACATCATCACATCTATAACATCATGAGTATATCATTTTACATCATTGCATTGCAAAGAAAAAACCTGAAGAATTTTGTTTCAGTAGATTGTGTATAGTTGGATGGATGGTGATGTCATTTGGCTGTCCATTGGCACACTTCTTTTTGCTCTGCTTATACCATATTCATTCATTCATTCACTCATTCCAGTCATTCATTCATCAATCCATTTATATTTAGGAGTGTATTTGTAAGTATTTGTAAGTTCAGTTGTAATGATCAGCCTATTTTCTTAATTGGAGATTTTTGAAAAAGTTTCAAAACTAGATAAATAAAAACCATACCAAGACAACGATAGATAATATTTTTTGTGGAAAATTACAAACCAAATGATGATGATGACTGTTAAGTATGCTCGTCATACTCTTCATCACGTCATCAACTTTATCTCCAGGTGCACAGAATGATACAAATATTTTTGGGTTGTTGCAGTTGTTGTTGTTGGTGGTGATGTTATTAGTGTTGATGCAGTTGAGCTTTTTCATGGTGCACCAGGCCTCAGCTTCACTTTTGAACTCCACTGCCCCAAACTTTTCATGGGGGTCCAATGAAGACATTCCAACCTGAGATTAATTCATAAAAATTATTTAAACAAAAATACAAACTCACTGTTGATATTCGAAATAGATCAATACCTAAATTAGAACAATGAATAAAGTAGAAGAGGATCGATGAAAAAATGAAATGAAATAAAGGTTGATTTAGAAGAAGACCTACCTGGCAGTTAACTAATTGACAGTTACTCTCAACTGACTGGACCAACAGATTCAATTTCTCAGTTGTATATGTAACTGGCAGTCCTGAAAAGAACAGACAGCTTGATTTCAATTGGTTGTAAGTGGTCACATGATCTTTCACAAATGTGCATCGAGTCGTGTGATTGGATAGTTTAATGTGATCTAAGAGTTGACGTGCCTGCTCTGATTTTTCTCTGTTGTGCATGTATTCAACGAAACCATAACCAAGAAACTCACCTGAAAATTTTATAGTCAGAAAGTTTTTACTGTACAAACAAAATCTTTATCATAAATAAAATAAATTATAAAGAAAAATCAATATTGAGGTGAACAATAATCAAGTTCATGATAGAATGATGTATAATATCAATCAACCCACCATCTTTATTATATTTAAGGAAGCACTTTTCAATGGATCCATGTGGCTCCACAAGAAGTCTGAACTTTTCCTGGTTCATGTCAGCTGGCAAATCAGCAATGCACAATAAATTATCATTTCTGTACAATGAAACATCGATTGCGCATCCGAGCAGTTTCTTGCAGCACAACTCTGAAACAGCCTGCTCAGCTTCGTGTCCATACTTCAGGTCTATTATTGCTGTCGGTGAAGAAAATATTTAATTTTTTTTAATATGTACAGTTCGTTACATACCTTTTTTATTCATTATTTAATTATATTTAAATACAAAATTTTAGAAATGTGTGAACAAATCACTAAAATAAATAACAGATTTTTCATGGATGTTTTATAGTTTATTTATTACAAAAATAAATATTTCACCACTAACAATGCCTTAGGCGTTTGCTTATGGAGATATTGGCCACAGTAAATCTCCCCATAAAATGTTTAACTTGCTAAAAAATTGAAAAAATTTTTTAATTGAATAAAAATTAAATTAAAAAATTGTTCTTAAAAAAATTAATATTTTCAAAATAAAAACTCATTTTTATTTAATCAAAATAAAAAAACCGCCAAAAAAGCTCAACAGTAAACGTTAACCAAAAATTTATTTATTAATTAAAATTTAATTTAGCGAAAATTAATGTTTACAAAAAATTAAACTAAAAATGTTTTCCACTAACATCGTATGTAATGGGTGGCACGTTTCTAAGTATAATCTTGCGGTTTTTGTTGAACTCATTCATTGCAAATTCTTCGTAAAAATTCATTTTGCTGTCTTTTAGTGAAAAATGTCAAATAAAAAAATAATTTAAATAAATAAAATGTAGATATTCAATTATCTTAGATAACAATAATTTAAAGATTTTAAATTTAAAGGCCTTCCCACGGAGCGGAAGCAAAGAAAAGAGAATCATGTAAGTTGAATTGGCTAGAAATAATTGTAGCATAGTTCCTAAAAAGACCTTTTTTAGGTATTAACTTACCTTAACTTAGGTAAAAATAATGAAATTTTGATATAGAATTGCCCTATCTTATTATTCTTCTACTGATTAAATTTGTGTTTTCCTTTTCTGAACATTATATAATTATAGATATATGCTTGTATTGTATTTAGTATTCTGAGTAAATGGTATTGGCATTATTTATTGCAAATTGTATTACTTTTTACGATAGACAATGGCGTATTCATAAATTTGTTTTCTTTGTTAAGCTTCTTTATTTCATGACGATAAAAATATTTAACAAGTTTTGTTTTCTGCGAGAAGCCTGGTAAGCAAAATAATCTAAACCAGTCTTAATTTCTATCCCAATTTTTTAATATCTTATATAGTTACTGGTTAGCTGCTGTCACATTTGGCATAATCAACTTTGAATACTCAGCAGATGGAAGAAACAACACAATTTTCTTCTCAATCGTCGACAAGTGGTCACATTAGACAGATGGCTTTAGAAGAAGTGGTCAACAAATTGACTTATTTCTACGAGGATGTCATTGACACGATAGGAGAAGGTTCAAGCTATGCAAACGACACGATAGGAATAGGCTCAAGTATTAGGAAAATTTAGGTTAATAAAGGAAATAAATGATTTTTATTTAAAAAATACCTGTTTGTTATTAGAATATTTCTCTGTCGAAAAATTTTTTGAGATGTTTAAGCAATAATCAACTTTGATCAATTATTTTACCGCATTTTGTTATAAAAAAAATTATTTATTCAACGTCCTCCTAATCATATTCATGGTCTGGTCTTTATTACCACAATAGCCGAATAACTGCCACATCTGAAGATAGCTGATAGGTCATACAAGCTATGAAAATTCTGAACAATCTTTGATGTGGATAAGATTGTCATTTGCAACCAGCCATTATGTTAAGTAATGTTTTCGATATTTGGCGAGTTTGTGGTAGTCATTAACATTATTTATAAAAAGTTTAAAGATCAATTCTTCATATAACGTAAATATGAAAAAATTAAATTATATTTATAATTAATTTATCTTAATTACTGTATATGAATATTTGACGCCGTACTCCGTTATTTCTGGTGGAGAGGATTTTTAAAACAATTATATTTTGTCCATAATAGACAGTTGTCATTGTGGATGCAAAAAACAAACTTCTATATTTGCATTTTCTGCATTTGGGATCACGTAATGCCGTTTTTTAGTTCTTCAAAATGCAGCTCTGTCAAACGCAGAACTGTTCACATGTTATTCTATACCAACTTATAATTAATATTCCGTGCCACAAAGGCTGTACTATCAGACCACACCACACGACGCACATACACATTATTATCTGTGAACGCGCAAGCACCGCATCATTCTCGCATGGCGTTTGATAGTCTTTGAGTTTCAGATGGACAGTTTTACAGCCAGGCCATCGGGTAATACAAAGCGTGAGACAAAGCACTTTTACCGACTTTTACTGAGCTAACTTGCCGACTAATGGTTATAAAGGCGCCTGGTTCGGGTTCAAATACAAAAGGGATGTTCGCTTTTCAAATGCGTCGTTCAGCATGTATTTTTGTATTGTTTGTGTGTTGCTAATGTGTGTGTGAATGTTGAAAGAGTGTAATGAGCCTTTAATCTTTTTTCAACTAAAAGTTTTTTAATTATAGAAACTCTTATACAATACCCCATTGATTCCTAAGCTGGAAGGCAATAAAGTTAACAACAAATTTGAAAATAAAATTTCACGTTGTAATCAGTAAAATAAATACTATGGATAAATAACTACTATAACAACTGGCTGGTTATATAACATGAACTTTAAATAACAGATATACATAAGTAAATGAAATTAATTAGGTATACGTTATTATAAGTACCTATACGATGGTATGGTATTTCTGGTATCTCTAAGTATTGGGTATATGGTATGGTAATTTTGCAGCCTGTTTATATTAAGAAGTCTATGTAAACAATTTGATCTTGCACTTTGAAATAAATACAAATACGACAATGCAGTACAGAGGCAGAAATACAATACAATAATACAATACAATACAATACATATAATTATAATGTAAGGATTTTGTATTTATTCGTGGTTCATGTTCGTCTTGTGTCGTCTACTTGAACGTCTGTCGTCTTATTGCCTCTCCCCTTCTCAAATTCTCTATTCAGAAAGTGATTATTATTATTATTCACGAAAATATACAAAGTACGTATTTCTGTTTTTTTATTTTTTATTCATTTTATTCTAAATTGCATCACATCTTATCTTTATATAATAATCTTGTTTTTTAAATTTTAAAAACATCTTAAAAAACCTAAGATAATTTTTTTACTTAGTTAACACCAGTTAACTTAAGTTTGAACCCATTGAAATAAAATCACATGACATAGATATAGATAGAATAATCAATAATATAATTTAATGAATTTTAATTTTGATTAATTATTATTATATTTATTGGAATGTTATTTATTATTTATTTTATATTATTTGATTAATATATATTATATTATAATATTATATAATATATTCATTGTATTGTAATTTATTAAAATTTATAAGTAAATTATATAAAAGTACTTCAAATAAAAACATTTAAATAAATGAAATAATTCATTATAACGAATAGAAATATTTTCTAAAAACTATAAAATCCATCTCAGGTGATGATGGTAGATGAATCAAAATTTTAACATTGTTTAATTTTATTTTTATGCAGAAGAAGAAAGACTGACCCAAGAGTCCCGACGACCGCCACAGCAACAACCACAGCAACAATAAAAAAAGGAAAAACAGAATCAAAGGTAGTAGGAGCAGGTGAGGCGTTGTTAGCCGGAGGCTTGACAAGGAGTGGCAACATAACTTGTTGTGCAGCTACCCCATCTTCTGTTGGGGGGTCCCTATGGTCCTCTGGGGAATCAGAAGTTCCTCATTTTCATCCGGAACATCCATGTTGGTGTTCAAACCACCAGAACATTCCCACTGCTCCTAGCATACAATTAGCCATGCATGATGCATATAGCTTGAACCCTGTCGTTGAGAAGTTGCCCAAGTGTATAGAAAGTGTTGCTTGTTATAGTAGGTTTTCATTTAATTTATTTTGCCAGACAGTTTTTTGTTTCATACATCCATTTTGGCAAAACAATTTTTTGACTACATTGCTATTAATATTAATAAGCTGGTGTACATAGTTTGGGATGGGTTGATGTGATATAATTATATACCATATATATGGACTGAATTGATGGTTTATAATTATATACAATACATATACATATGTAGTTATAAACCCAAACCTTAACCACGGTCATGTTTATTAATATGAAATTTTTGAAAACATTTTCCATGTAAATTTAGCTAGCATGCAGTGATTATTTTATATCACTATTTATATTGCTGTAACCATTTGAAAAGAAATATTAAAATTTTTCTGTGCACCTAAATTTGTCACATGTTCGCATGATTTTTTGTGTGTATATTTTTTACAAAAAGAGGTGCAACAATATTATATCTTTATTGACCATATGTGCAATACAATTTAGTTTCACAAAAGTATTAAAAATCATGTTTAATCTATCCCTTCAATGTTAACCAACAGGAAACAATTTGTTACTGGGAACAAGAGAGGGCTACTTGTTACTCTACACCATCAGAAACCACAATAACCGAATTGAATCCATCCTCGAAAAATCCAACAAAAATTTTTCCAAGAAACCCATAACTCAGTTGGAGGTCATTCCAGAGTACCACATCCTACTCAGCCTCTCTGGTCTGTTTCTGGCTTATTTGATTGATCATTTTATACGCATACACATCAGCACATTCTTGAACACAATACAAATAATAATTGATGATGCCAAAAGTTGAGCCATCTAAGCCGACATTAAATGTTGACTGTTACATACGTTTTGATGTTTTATTGTATTTCAGTTAAAAAATTGCATCAAAAAGCTCTCTCTCTCTCTCTCTCTCTCTCTCTCTCTCAAATGACAAATCTTACTTCAATCAAAATATTTCAATTTTATAAAAAATCACACACACGTGGTTTTGTTTTGCTATTTTTCTTATTCATTTGCCAGAATCTGATGTTTTTATAAATGATGAATAAGTTTAATATAATTATTATGGATATTATGATAATAATATATCATTATCATTATATATATTATTATAATATTGTCATAATATAATATTATTATGATAATAAAAAACAAAAAATAATACATAACCATGTGTCATTGATATGTGAAACACACTTAGACACACACACACACGCTCGCGCGCGCACACAGTCATGCACAGCTAAACATAAAGTGTGTTTATTTATACATGCATATACACATACGTTATACTTGTTTATACTCAAACATATACATATGCATACACATGCATATAAACAAACACACACTCACGCACACACACACACACACACACAGATAATGTGGTAAGTGTGCACGACTTAACTGTCTTCAAGTTGATTTCTGTCATTGAGAAGACCAGGGGTGCCAATTGTTTCAACATTGATCTTAAGGTCTTAAGTCGATAACGCTATTATTATTATTATTGTTGTTGTTGTTATTGTTGTTGTTGTTATTGTTGTAGTTGCTGCTTTTGATGTTGTTGTTTCATTATTCTGCTGTTGTTTTTAGCAACATAGAGACCAATTGAAGTAATCTAAATGCTTTTATTGGGTTTCAGAATTTTTCTGACTATAGGTGCAAGATTCTAGCATGTCTGTTTTTTTTTAATTTTTGGAAGCCGACGTCACCAAGTAACCATCGAACTTTTTTGCAACCGACCCAAATGCACCCACTACTACTGGAATAACTGATGCTCCAGTTTTCACGTTCTTTGGATCATTCTTTCTAGGTCTTAATATTTTTCGAAATTTCCAATCTCTTTGACTGCCACACTCTTGTTAACTGGTATAACAACATCGATTGGCGAATACTGTTGCTTTTGGCATACTGTAAGGGCGGCGTGATGGCTCAATGGTTAAAGGCGCCTGGTGGTCCTGCTGTTGCAGTGAGTGGATTCGAATGCAGAGAGATCCCCGCCTATCATATGCAATGTGTGTGATGCGTGGTTTTGACGCGTATTCATATACGCTGCGTGTGTTTGTCGTTGAAACCTCTGAAGCAGGTGCACAAGAGAGATTGACCTCTAACCTTTTGACATAGTTAATTTAGTCTAGTTTATTGGCTTTTATAGTTTGGTTAGAATTTATTGAATAATGATGATGATGGTGGTGATAATGTGTAGATAATGATGATGGTGGTGGTGATTTTTAAAAAATGTTGATGTTGAACAAATGAAAACAGAAAGAAGTCCTGCAAAATGGTGAAAGTGAATACAGTTTGAAGTTGTGCGTGTCAGTTAAGAGGAGGTTACAGGTGATTCATTTGTTCTTTCGTTCATTCGATCTTTCGTTCAGTTTACATTCATTTATTCTTATACATTCATTCAATAGTTTGTTTGACAATTTTTAAATTTGTTGTTCGTTCATTCATTCATTCATTCATTCGTTCGTTCGTTCGTTCGTTCATTCGTTCGTTCGTTCATTTAATTTTTTGTATATTTGGTCGTTCATTCGTTCATTAATTTGGTTATTTATAAATCAATTTATTATATTATTATAAATTAATTTAATTTGATTAAAGAGTATTTAAATATTTATCATGTAATGCCATTTATAGTCTCATATGTTGGTACAAAATAATGAATTATGTATAATAAATTAGGAATGGTGAATTGTGAATATTAAATTATGAATAGTGAATTATGAATATTAAATTATGAATATTAAGTTATGAATGGTAAATTATAAATATTAAGTTATGAATAGTGAATTATGAATATTAAATTATGAATATTAGTTTAATATAATTTTTCAGTTTTACTACTGGAAAAACAGACAGTTCCATGACTTAAGAGTTAGTTTGCATCATTGAACGTTTGATGAATTGTTTGGAATTAAATAAAAAAACAACTTGAAATATTATTTTTACATTTTTTGTTTAATAAGTTGTAAATTTTTATTAAAGAATATATCACTTACGTTATTTGCTTTTGGTAAATTTTTGTATCTTTATGTACGTTTCTATAGTTAAAAATAATGAGTAAATTACTTAATTAGTAACTAATTAGTGAATGTGAAATGAATTATTACTATTATTATAACCGTTACCCAGCCTGAACTCAACCTTCCTGACGTTCCGAAATGTTTGGTGTGGTGTGTCGACACGATATTCCTTGGCTACAAAAAGGATTACGTCTTGGTGTCGGTCGGTTCGTTTGTTATTATTGCTATTAGATGTTGTTATCTCTGTGCTGGTCTCTTCATTTGCAATTGTTTTACGCTGGCCAGTTCATTATCGATATTTGTTTGGTATTCTCCCAGGTATTTTTCTTTCATATATTGTGTTTTTTGACGCTTTCATGATTGAATATTATGCACACTTGTTTCCGATATTTAAATTTTATAAAAAATAGTCTTAATTTTTTTATTATTTAAAATTTTGACTTGAATTGTTTATTTTTGAACTGTAGTAAAATGAAATAATTGCATGCGTCTTTTGCTTAGGCATCAACGAACGAAAATATAAAAAATGATTCAATTGTTGATGATAACTCATCGAAACTATCCTCCCAAAATGACAATTATTGAAATGAAGAACACACAAATCACAACACACAGCTGGTAAATGAAACATCGAAGGAACTCTTCTCAACAGGCAAGCAGATGGAACCTTCCATCATGAACCTAACGAGCAACAAGATATCACTGCTGAAAGATGAGTCCACGATATTTGTCGACACCGAGGGCAATGCCACCCAGAAGTCTGTTATCACTTGGAACTCTACACCATTGCAATTGCGTTCGTTCAATTTTGTTTGTTCGTTCGTTTGTTTGTTCGGTTTGTTCATTCATTTAATTGATTGTTTGCCGTCACTTTCGTAATATTTTCACTCGTTATGTTTAATTTTCATTCATTATGTGTAATTATCATTCATTATGTGTAATTAATGTTAAGTTGATCACGAATCATCCACTGCTTTCATGTGGTTTATATTAAACGTATTATTTTGATGCTTCGCGTTCTACCTTAATAGTGTAGTGTAGGTATTTAATGTGACATTGAGGAATATGAATTCTGGTATTTTTTTTATAGAATTAAGTCACCTGTTCAACTTACCTGATTGTGGCCAGCGAATAATGTATGCAATTTGTTTTTGACGCCTATTCATTCATATATATTGTTGTGTGCATTTGTCGTGGCTACCTCTGAAGCAAGGGCAGAAGAGGGAATGACCTTTAACCTTTAAAACGCCCTGCAGTGTACGATCACCCGTACATGATCGCCATATCGGCCACCAGTGTGGAAGTAAGGACCATCGATCCGAGGTGTTTCATACAATCACTTGAAATAAACAAAGCCAGGATCATATGCTCCGCAAAGTCAGATCATTATTATTCATTATTCAATCCTCATAACGCAAAGTATGTTAATTAAACGTTCATATATGCATAATATACAGAATTAACTTTTGTACTAGTGAAAGTTGACTTATTAATATTCATATTGTGTAATATGTGTATTAATAGAATAATTAAAATTTAGATATTGCAAAGTCTCTTCATTAATACTCATGATGTTGTTAATATTCATGTGCTGGTTGGTCATTATTTACTGTGTATGTCATGTTAAATGGGCTAATTATGGCTTGCATAATGTAATGAATGCATTCACCATTTTTCTATATTTAGTTAATCATTCATTCATTCATTCATTCATTCATTTATTTGAAACATACATGATAGGTTTAAGTAATGTGTAGTGAGTGAAACATTCAAAATATGAATGATACCATGAATACATAGATGATGCATTTGACAAATGTAAACACAAATTTGATGCATAAACGATAATAATAAATTTTAAATACATGAAACCTCAAACAATAGAATGATAGATTTGATATAAAAACAACTTTAGCTGAGATACACATACAACTGTTGGAAATATATAGCAACAGATATAGTATCTACATACAATGATAGCTATGACGGAAATACTATGATAGATTTGTCACAAATACAATAAAAATAAATGTTAAACATGAACAGTAGCATTCAGTTAGCAGCATTAGATTCAGTTTGTAGATACATTGATGCTATAATAATTAATATGATGATGGTTTTGATAGACACATACAATTATAAAAATGATACATTGATTCATTATAGATTTGATATATGATAGATTTGATGCAGGATAGATTTGATATATGATCAGTGTAATATAAGGTAAAATTGATGTGCTTGATTAATGATTGATTTGATAAATTTGCTATATAACAGATTTGATATATCTTATTCATGGTGCATTCGATGTATGATAGATTTGATATACGGTTAATTTAATATGCGATATACTTGATTGATATTTGTGTGTGTGTGTGTGTGTGTGTGCGTGTGTGTGCGTGCGTGTGTGTGTGTAGATATACAACAGACATCATGCACATCAGATCACACGGGCGCCAACAGCAGCAACCGCAAATGATTTACATTTCCTCGTACAACTCTGTCTGGCTACTCTCTCCAGTCGACATCGTCAACCAGGTGAAGCAATTACTCAGCAAGAAGGAGTTCGATCTCGCTCTCACTCTCGTGGTTATTTTTTTTATTTTATTTTTATTTTTTAAATTTTGCAAAATGTTCAGAGAAGGACAACTCCTGTGAGAACATCCTGCAGAGGTCTTCCATATGAGGACTGGTTGAGGAAGTTGAAGTTGCCATCCCAGGTCCACAGACGTCTAAGAACCGACCTTATTTTGTCATATAGAATAATAAAACATGGTCAGCTCCCTGCCGATGTTGACCCCACTTTTCTGTTGGCACACGATGTTCGTACGAGGGGCCATAACTTCATCTTCAAGTTCATAGGTTCTAGCCATAAAGACTGCCGTAAATTTTTTTCGAATAAAGTGGTGGAAGAGTGGAACAAACTGTAGTAGTAATAATAATAATAATAATTGTAATATTAATAATAATAAATAAAATACGTGAATGTAGAAAATGTCAGATGAGTCGCCGAAAGATCGCGAGGAGAGAGAGCGGAGCATCAACAAGTTGTATGCCTTTGAACTTTTCAAGCAGCGTTCATTCAAAGATGCCATGGACCTCTTCCTTGAGTTGCACACTGGTACGTATGTTGTATGTATTTTTACGGTATGTTGTATGCATTTTTACGGTATGTTGTATGCATTTTTACGGTGTGTTGTTTGTATTTGTATGGTATATTGTATGTATTTGTATGGTATGTTGTATGTATTTGTACGGTATGTTGTGTGCATTTGTATGGTATATTGTATGCATTTGTATGGTATGTATGTATTTGTACGGTATGTTGTGTGTATTGGTATGGTGTGTTGTATGTATTTGTATGCTAGTTGAATGGTATTTATTATGTCTAACTTTTGGCTTATTTGTTTAAAATACGTTATTATGTTGATTAATTTCTGTTATCATTAATTTTTTTATTTATTTTTATATTCACTCACTTATTTCAGACATTTCATTTTATCGCGTCATGAACCTTTTGAACTTCTAAACGAGGCGTGTCGTTCTTATGTATCCAGTTGTTATTACCATTCAGTTACATGACATCGTGTTATAATGATCACTACCACCACCTAATTTGAATGCTGTTGATTCTCCGCAGATCCCTCGCACGTCGCTGGTCTCTATCCAAATTTGTTGCCAGAAGAATTTAGAAACCAAATTCGATATCCCGGTTAATATTTATTTGTCTGTGTGGGTACGTGTGTTTGTGTGTACGTGTGTGTGTGTGTGCACGCACGTGTGTGTTGGTTTGGGTGTGTACGTGTGTGTGTGTGTACGTGTACGTGTGTGTGTGTGTGTACGTGTGTGTGTAGTGTGTGGTGTGTGTGTGTGAGTGTTTATAAGTGTGAATGTTTTTTCAATGTTTCACACTCACTGGTCGGTCATACACTCACCCATTTAGTTACTCACTCATACATTTGCTTTTTTACTCACTCATTCCTTCGTCCATTCAATCACTCATTCACTTACTATTGATAGTTCGTTGTTTCGCTATTCCATTCATTCACTATTTCACTCACCCAATCACTCAGGTGACCTACCTGTATTGGAGGGTGTGGATATAGAAGGAGGTCTTCTCTGCCTCATCGAGTATCTAACAAAGGTTCACTCACTCACTCACTCACTCATTTATTCATTCATTCATTCATTCATTCATTCATTCATCCATTCATCCATTCGTTCATTCATTCATTCATTCATCCATTCACACGTACGTTCATTTATTTATGTACTCATCATCTTGATGATAATAATTTTTTGTTGATATCATCGCCATCATCAGAAACGACACGATTTGATAAAGAAAGATGTGAATCGTGAGGTGGCCACGACGACACTGGTCGATGGGTCGGTCACTATGAAGCCGAAGAAGCAGCTGCTGCAAATTATCGACACCACGTTACTCAAGTGCTACGTGCAGGTTGGTTTCCTGGGGTGCTTGGTTTTGTTGGCTAGTCGGTTGGTTGGTTGGTTGATTGGCTGTTTGGTTGGTTGGTAGGCTGGTTGATTGGTTGGTTGGTTGGTAGGCTGGTTGATAGGCTGTTTGATTGGTAGGTTGGTTGGTTGGTAGGTTGGTTGGTTGGTAGGCTGGTTGATTGGTTGGTTGGTAGGCTGGTTGATTGGTTGGTAGGCTGGTTGATTAGTTGGTTGGTAAGCTGGTTGATTGGTTGGCTGGTAGGCTGGTTGATTGGTTGGTTGGTAGGCTGGTTGGTTGGTTGGGTGGTTGATTGGTTGATTAATTGGTCGGTTGGTTGGTTGGTTAGTTTGATGGATGGCTATCTGGCAGACGAACTGGTTTGCTGGCTAGATGTATGATTGATTGGTTATTCCATGGATTTTTATTGGTTTTTGTTTGACTAGTTCGTTGATTGATTAAATTTTTGGTTGCTTAGTTAGTTGTTAGTAACGTTGTTGCTGTTGATGTTGAACATCCGTGCAGACGAATGACGCCCTGGTTGGCTCGTTGCTGAGGCTGAAGGAGAACAACTGCCACCTGGAAGAATGTGAACGAGTCCTCAAGGCTCACAACAAGCACGCCGATCTCATCACTCTGTACGAAAGGAAGGGACTGCATACTAAAGGTTTTTGTTTGTTCGTTCGTTCGTTTGTTTGTTTGATTGATTGATTGATGGATTGATTGTTCAGTCGTTTGTTTGTTCATTCATTCGTTTGTTTGTTTATTATATTGTTCGTTTTCTTGTTTTTTTGTTCACTTGTTCATTTTGTTTTTTTTTTATCATACACATCATTTTGGCTATTTTGTCGATGTTTTATATGAATTTACCCATTAAACAATAAACAGCTCTTGAAATGTTGATGAAGTTATCTCAAAAACCACACACCAGCATGTACGGCCATGACTGTACCATCACTTATCTTCAGCAACTTGGTTGGCTGATTGATTGAATGGTTGATTGATTGATTGATTGAATGGTTGATTGATTGATTGATTGAATGGTTGGTTGATTGATTGATTGATTGATTGATTGATTGATTGATTGATTGATTGATTGATTGATTGATTGATTGATTGATTGATTGATTGATTGATTGATTGATTGATTGATTGCATTTTAATGTGTGTAAATGAAAATGATTTTTCATATCTCCAGGTCCGAAAAACATAGATCTGATATTTGAATACTCAGAATGGATTCTCAAGAAAGATCCACAAGAGGGCCTCAAGGTTGCTCTCCTCTCCATTCCATTTTCTTTCCATCACTACGTTTTTGGTTGTTGTTGATTTGTGTGTGTGTTTATGTTTGTGTGTTTGTATGTGTGTGTGTGTGGGCGTGTGTGTGTTTATGTGTGTGTGTTTATGTGTGTGTTTATGTGTGTGTGTGTGTCGGTTTTTGCTATTTGTGTGTTGGTATGTGACATTACGTGTATGAGTATTGTTGACATCCACTTACAATGATCACATCAACAAATAATGATGAATTACACAAATAATGATGGCGTCAAAAAATGTTGTTGATGATGTCAACAAACATCAACGACGTCCCGACCAATCAGATTTTTACGGAAGACCTGGATGAAGTGCGTTCACTTCCACGCCTGCCAGTCTTCAACTTCCTGGAAAAGATCAACCAGGATGTCCTCTTTAATTATGTGGTTAGTATGGTAATGGTGAAATTGTAATGGTGAAATTGAAATGGTGAAATTGAAATGGTGAGAATGTAATGGTGAGAATGTAATGGTGAAAATCTAATGGTGAGAATGTAATAGTGAGAATTTAATGGTGAAAATGTAATGGTGAGAATGTTTGCAAATGAAAGGAGCACGTAGTTAACGAGTGGTCGGACACAACGATGAAGTTGCACAACTACCTGTGCACGCAGTACATCACTAAGACATCTGCACTCTACTACGACTACATCAACAACTTGCCTCCAGGTTAGCCAGCTTATTTTTGCTACATCATTACTTGATAATATCGTATTTACTAATTTGTCATTAATTAGTTGTACGCGAGTGTAGGTAGTAAAGTATGACATAACGCATTTACTGGGCGAGTAGTTTGCATTTTAACTTTGCGTTGCCCGTTCAGTTGTTTGGTTAATGCTTCTACTCATTCGACCATCTGCTTTTATTGAATAAAGTTGATGATGCTATTTATGGTGGTCACAAAATGTTAATGGTATGTTAATGAGATGTAAAGATATGTTAATGAGATGTAAGGATATGTTAATGACGATATAGTGTTGATAATGTAACGTTGTAAGGAGTGAAGCCCACATCAGCAGGCAGTGAGCCGGGGGAGTTGGGAGAGTTAAGGAGGAAGACGATAAAAATGCTGAACACATCCATGTATTATCAGGCCGATCTGCTTTTGAAACAACTTCCACAAAATAGTTGGATACATTTGTTTGTTTGTCTGTCTGTTTGTTTATCTGTCTCCGTGTTGACATTATATTGTGCATCTTTTTATGACTGTTTGTCATTGTACATATGAATTTGTGCATATTTGCATGTTTGCTTGCTTGTTGTCTCTGGATCTTCTTCGTTCTCGTGCCTTATCCTTTCAGGATATTGGTGACCATCGACCTCCACAAAACCCGATTTTCAACACTTTGTAGTAGTTGAAATGTGTTGATATCCAACAAGTGATACAAGGATTTCACGAACGTTATTCGTTGTTGACCGCGATCTCTTCTCCCTGCAATCTTTCCAGTTGGATTTTTCATTTCTTCCTTCCGCATGATTTGACCAAAAAAACTTCAACTGCCCCCGTTGGACTATTTATAGTAATTTCCTCTTTTTATAATCGGACTGTTTTAATACATCCTCATTCGAAGTATGAGAGGTCCAACTAAATTTCATAATTTTTCTCAAAAACCACATCTCAGCAGCATCAATCCTTTTTACTATTTCTTTAGAAATTGTTCTAGATTTTTTTTATTTTAGAATATGCATCTTTCGCCCTAGCTATCCTTCGTTTGATATCCATATCACATTTACAACCTGAAGTAATCAGACTTACGAGATAATTGAAGCTGTTGACTTGTTTCACCTGTTCACCATTAATGAATATGGAGCAGAGTGGGGCGGTTTTGCTTTTACTGGTAACCATGCACTCTGTTTTGTTGATGTTATTTTGCAAGCCTTTCCTTTCACATTCAAAAACCGCATGTTTTTTGTCTTTGGGTTATACATGCAATTGTTCTGATTTTTTTGTAATAATGTTTTATATTTTGCATGGCATTTCATCATATATATGTTTTATATTTTGCATGGCATTTCATCGTATATAACGAGATATAATTTGCTATAAGATATAACAAATAAAATGTAAAATATAATATATTTATATAAAATGAAATGTAATGAGTTGATACAAGTGAGCGTGATATTACTTAAGTTCTGCTGGAAGAGCGCGCCATATTGTGTGGCAGGCTTGGCAAGCACGAGGAAGTACTCAGCATCTACGTTCTTCAGTTGCAAGATTTCGCCGCTGCTGAAAGGTTCTTTTTTTTATTTTCTTATTTCACGTGCGATTTTTTAAAAGTTATAATAATAAAGAAAAAAAATAAAAATGATAAAAAAATAAAAATGTGCTTTAAAAGCTTTATAATTTATTTTTAAATCTCTCCTCCAGGTATTGTGAAAACGTTTATGATGAGAATGACGAAAGCTCGAAGCAGGTTCTGTACAATAAATTTAAAAAAATGGAATTTATTATTTTTGACGTTGTTATTTTTTTCAGGTATTTTTCGACCTTCTGAAATATTACCTGACACCTCCCCAGTCATCGCCAACATACGCATCAACATTGGAGCCAGCAGCAGCAGCAGTACCGGCCACTTCATCCACACCATCTGCAGTTCCCAACGTTGAAGCTGCCTTGCATTTGGTTGAAACATATTCCTCCTATCTCGATATTGTTAAGGTTATTTAATGGTATGTCGTATTTTGCATTTTGCTGTTGTGCATGATCACTACATGGTAGTCGGCAATGGCTGAAAACTAGGATACTCACAAATGTAAGCCATCCTAGGTTTGGTGGCATTAATTTAATCTATACATAACCAAGCCATGAATTGCCCAGCAAAGTCCTAGTTGTCATGAAATATCGGTTGAGTCAAACGAGGAACGCCTTTTAATGATTGAGATAATAATTGGAAGGGTTCTCTCTGAGTTTCTTCACTTTTTCCTAATTCGTAGGTTATAATAGATCATAAAACATCAAAGAAGTGAAATGATTCGCCTTGAAGCAGTGTTCATGGGACATTGATATATCAAAAGCTTATGCATTATCATCGTCAACATTTGTCATCTTCCCATCATCTTCATTTGCTCTAATTTTATTTTCGTTTACTATCATATTAACATTAACATAAACATGTTAATGTTACATGTTAATAAACTTCATATCATCAAAGAAATATATTTAACTTTACTCACTTAACTAAACAGGTTTTAGATTTATTTCCGAAAGGAACTAAGTTATTCACGATGTTCAACTACATCGAGAAAGTTTTGAGTGCATTCCACGGTCAGGCTAGGCATTCTCTTATACAGAAAAATCTCTTGAAAGCCGAACATTTACTTGTACGTATTATCTTTCGTCTTATACTACCCTATTTTTAGTTTAGCAAATTTTTGATGGATTCAACCTAAAACAGGAAACAATTTTGTTTTTGTTAATTATTTTCGCCACATTTGCACTAATGTCAGTTCAATTAACTGATTGATTAAATGCAAACCGGTATTAATAAAATTGGGATAACCTCGTTACATTAATTTATTAAATAATTAATTAATAGGCCACTGAAAGTTACATGAGGATGAGGAAGATGAGGGTAGAGATGAATGAAGATATCAACTGCAAAGTTTGCAACAAGAGGATCGGAAACAGGTTAACCAACTCACTTAATCTTAATTTCTCGTATCGATTTACTTGTAAAATAAAGTCAAGTAAAATGAGCATGTTCATCGTGCCACAAATCACACCACATAATGCATAAATCGACATTTGCATTTCACAACAGTGCATTCGCCAGGTATCCGAACGGCGTGATAGTTCATTGTGGCTGCATAAAAGATGTCAAGTCATGTCCCAACTGACGCATCCAGTCACGAATCTCAGCACCAGCACACAACTTACTCATTCCCTTCTTAGTCATCTCATCATCACTACCCAAAGTATTAACAGATACAAAAGATTCCAGATATAAATATCATAACACCAGGTATCATGATATAAATCATTGTTCACCTGTCAACAATGACTCCATTTCCACTGCCTCAATCGAGGTGTTTAGGAAACAAAAGCGCACGCTTTGCTATCATGTTAATGATATCAACATAAGACTTTTTTATATTCTGCGTGTAAATAATGTACATTAAATAATTATGCGTTAGTGAATGCTTGACGATTATTTTTAATGATAAATAAATGTAACATAGCGCTATACTGACGGTAGATTTTATACTGAATCTTAGTTTCGATGTTCTGAAGTTAGGTCTGACTGATTGTTTTTACGAATCATCGCGTGAATGCTATATGTTTAGGGTATCTGTTTTTTTTAAAATAACGATTAATTGGTTTAAATTTTTATATTTTTAAATACAAATTTAATTTAGATATATTATAGACTTTCCCTAAATAAGAAAAAAACGTTTTAACATATTATAAGTTTTTATTTTCCGACGGTTTTGTTGTCGTTTTTTCGTCTTCCGTTGTTTTACCTTTGTTCCAGTTTTCAAGTCCTTTCGGTAGTTGTGTGCTCTCCTCAAGGGAACCTGCGTGTTGACGGCGTCGAATGCGAAAGATCATTTCTAAATAACACTTATTAGAGAGTTCATGATCAAATAAAACAACAGGTAGGTGCTAATCATGAGGTGAAGAGCCCTCCACAATGTTTTGGGAGGTGGGACGTTCATATCAACAATTTTAAAAGCAGGTACAAATAATCGATAAGTACGAGTAGTAAATAAAAACAGGATTGGTATATCGAATTTTCAAATTCCCACACAGCAAATATAAAACTATTTAAAAGATTTAAAAACGCTTTAAAATAAAGGTCTTTTGCTCTTCTGATTGGGACTTAAATAAAATTAACCAAGAATTTTATTGGTGATCAGTAGAAATGACCGAAATAAATGTTCAGACCTGTTCCTTCCACGAAATCTTCATATGTTGTCTTCTCAGCAAATGGTCGATTTCCAATAAGCTCTACCATATCCTCTTTATCCAGTTTCTCTTTTTCTAACAATCTTTCAGCAACCTGGCATATGATCAATGTTTTTGAAGAAAATTTCTTTCTCTAAAGGGCTTTCTAATTCTCTTATAAAATAAATTTATTCAAAAAAAGCAACTTGAAATAATCGGAATGAAATAGAAAAATTGACAACGCAACAAACTTTCACAATATCATTTTTATGCTTGGTAAGTAACTCATGCGTCCTGTCATATGCATTCTTGATGATGACTCTGACCTCCTCGTCAATCATTCGAGCAGTTTCCTCACTGTACGGCTTGTCGAACACCATCTCACCTGCAGTTCATCAATCTCATACTTACTAACCACTAGAAGCAGAAGAATTAAAAGCTTAACGGATTAATTGAAAGATGGAACTGTAATAGCGAATGGCATATAAAAAAAAGACCTGGTTGCGGTTGCTGGAAGGATATGTGTCCCAATCTTTCACTCATTCCCAATTGTGCTACCTATAAAAAATAAATTCTTCAACATCATTTAAATGGTTTGTTTCAATATGGCATAAAATTAAATCAACTAAAATATTTAATGGCCTACAATACAATGTAACAACGATGTAAAATGTCATGACCTGTGAGTAAGCCATCTGAGTGACCTTCTGAAGGTCATCTTGTGCACCTGAGGTGATGCGGTTGAAAAATATTTGTTCAGATACCCTGCCCCCGAGTGCCATGCACATTCGGTCCAATATTTGTTCTTTCGTGTATAAATATTGTTCTTTGGGGAGGTACTGGGCGTAGCCCAATCCTTTGCCTCTAGGAATGATGGACACCTGGTGATTAAAATAATAAATTGTGGTGACGATGCTCATCTGCAGAGTAACAATAATTAGTGATTACGAACAAAACGAAACATATTTGAACATAAATCTAATGAAATGAATCTCCTCCTATTGCATAATGAAAAGAGAAGTTGCTTATATGAAAACATGAACTGATGCGATTAAAATATCAACTGGCGATGAAAACTATTTAAAAAGCTATGATGGTAATTATATGAATAAAATGAGTGGATGGATAGCTGGATGAATTAATAGAAGGCAACCTTGAGCAGAGGATCAGCATGTTGGAGGAACCAGCCAGCCACAGCGTGACCAGCTTCGTGATAGGCAACTGTCTTTTTCTCATCTGGCTGCAGAACCTACGTTAAAATAACGATTCCTCTTAAAAAATTATTACCATAATCGTAAAGAATATTATAATATTTATTTATAACATCATCCATAAAATTATGGAAAGTTTTAAGAAACACCAATAAATTTATGATATAAACGCCTGCAAACTTGTGTTTTTTTCTCAAGACCAGCAACCACCCTTTCAATGGCTTGTTCGAAATGATTCATTTGAATGGAGCTGTGCAGGTCACGAGCAGCAATGAGTGCCGCCTCGTTGCACACATTTGCTATGTCAGCTCCTGTTAAAATTTCACAAAAGTTCGCTCATTGCTATGAATGAAGATGCAAAATTGAGAATGAATAAATAAATGTTTTTTACTTTTCTGAGACAGGATTCAAATATTACCAAAGAAATTATTGATGCAAACTTATCAATCATTATTAACTAATAAAAAAATCATCAATCAACCAATAAATTAATTATTCAAGCCACCAGAGAAGCCAGGTGTGAGTGCAGCCATCTTCCTTGCCAGGTCATCCTTGTTGAGTTCAGTTTTCAGTGGTCTCAGATGCACTTTAAATATTGAGGCCCTTCATTTTAATGCAATAAACAGGCATTAGGAAAAAAAATGTTGAAAAACACAAATATAAAATGTACTAAACCAAATTGCAAACAATATCAAGATAACATATTTATTTATCAACACAATGCAACAAAACAAAAGAACTGAACCCGAAAAGAGCACGACCAAACATTACAAACCTGCCCTTGATATCAGGGGCACCGACATAAATCTGCCTGTCAAATCTTCCAGGTCTTAGAAGTGCAGGGTCTAATATATCAACCCTGTTTGTTGCTGCCAAGACGACAACACTCGACTGTGGGGAGAAACCTTTTGAATGGTGCAAATGTTGACGCATTTCATATGATGTTGTAGACTTGAGATGTAAGTAATAAAATAAACTAATCATTAAACGCTAAATAAAACACATCCAACATATCGACAGATCAACCAAACAGCCAACCAACCAATCAATCCATTGACTAACCATCCATCTCTACGAGAAGTTGGTTGAGCGTGTTCTCCTGTTCACTGTGGCCTCCAAAACTTTTACCCCCTCTCTTCCGACCAACCGCATCAATCTCATCAATGAACAGGATGCACGGGGCATTCTTGCGAGCCAGTGAAAACATGTCGCGAACCTTTCATTTGATTTCAGAGAAGAAAAATGATTAAATATAAAAACCTGAAAAAATGAAACAATTCAACAAAATATCTCAATCATTGATAAAAAGAAAGCAGAAATAGAAGTACATGTACACGTTTAAATCAAAGAATGCAATTAAAATTAAGTAAAAATGTATAATATTTAATGAAAACAGCAAAAAAAAGCTGACTCTGGAGGGTCCAACGCCGACAAACATCTCCAAGAACTCCGAACCAGACACGGTTATGAATGGAACGTTTGCTTCACCAGCTGTTGCTTTTGCTAGCAGGGTCTTGCCAGTTCCCGGTGGCCCAGTCAACATGGCGCCTTCAATCGATCAGCCAATCAATCAATCAATCAAAATCAGTCTATCAATCAATTAATCAACCAATCAATCAATCATTAAATCAATCAGTCAATCAACCAATAAATCAGTAAATCAACTATTCATTAGCAAATAAGCATCCCATAGTTCTACAGCCCCAAACATTTCATCTCAAAAGTCCTCAACTCATATTTTAGAACAGCTAAAATTTAAAAGAACCAACCTTTAGGAATTTTAGCACCAAGTTCTTCATACTGTTGAGGATTTTTCAGAAAGTTAACAAACTCCATGATCTCAAGCTTTGCCTCCTCACAACCAGCTACATCTCTATTTCAATGTGATGATGATGATGACGATGAAGATGATGGAGATGATGAAAAAAAAGATGTAACAACTATCAATACAGACATCTCTAATTCAATTTGATGATGACGATGGTGAGGAAGATGATGATGAAGATGTAACGAAAAATGATTACCAGTTGATAATAACACAAAGGTAAGAATGCAACATAGCATCAACGACAACCATCAATATTGACGTGACATCTACAAAACAGAGACATATATCAGAGTCATTGGTGACATTAACTTTTCCATGCAAATGAGAATTGACATTAAAGAGAAGAATGACATCAGTATCAACAATGCAACTACAACATTAACGCAGCGGCAACATCAATGCTACAACAACAACAACAACACATTGATAACAAACTTGAATCTAACTCCAACATCATCTTTAATAATTTTTGCGGTTGTTTGCCCAAAACCAAACAACCCCCCTGGACGACTGCTGCCCCCCGGTCGGCCACCCTTGCGTAAAATTTAGTGATGATGAAGATGGAGAGGACGATGAAGATGATTTGACGTTTAAAATGAATGATGATGGTAATGATGATGATGTGTGAATGCATGATGATGATGAAAGTCAATCTCAGCTCTAGTAACATTTATTTTTCATCATTAAATTTTTGTTCCGTTTAGTTTCGATCAAAAAGACTGATTCAAAGTTTAAATTATACTGACATACGTGATTTTTCCCCAAAAAACATTAAATTTTTCTATATAATTTTTTTACGCTGATTTCAAATCTGAAAACCGTTTTGTTCTATTACATCGGTTCCAAAGAAAAACGCTTATAGAAATATTCCTGTTACCTCTTACACACAGTAAAATAAACTGCTGACAACATCAGTAATGTTTTAATAAAAATTAAAAACAGAGAGTTTGTGGAGACGTGAAAGTCGTTGCAATCCTCCTGGGTCTACAAGATGGTAACACAAAATCCTGCAGTTTCCTCTGCCAGTGGAATAGTCAGAATAGAGATGCTCACGCTAGCAAAAAAGTGGTTTCATTAAGTCAACGTGTTTTGTTTTAATGAGCAATAACTACGTTTTTAAATATTATTTGCCACTCATTTTTAATGAAATGACATTTCATGACTAATAAAAGTCTTGATGGAATTGGTTTTATATTTTAATGGTCATATAAGGAGCATAACTGTTAGTGATAGCTAATGAAAGTGAATAAAATTCAATTGAAGTTTTCTCAAAACTTTTATCTGGTACAAACAAACGGATTACATATTTGAAATCAGCATGCTAAATTAGCTAGAAATATATCCACTTACTAAAGAAAATAAAGAAAAAAATTTTTTTTTGTATGTTACTGTTTGTTATTGGATGATGATAGTTATGAAGAGGATGAATTTCCTACATTTAGGCCAAATGAATGTAATGATAATATAATTAAAATGATGACTGTGTGTTTCAATTGGATGTTGATGATGTTTAAATGCAATGACGAATGATGATAATGATTAGGATGGTCTTAGTGATACTGATGACATTAAAATGATGAAAAAATCGTTAATAATAATAATTATTATCATTATGACAAAATGATGACGAAGAAGATGATGAGTGCATACCATGAAGCCTGATGTTGATCTCTTGAGCAACCAGAATATGAAAATCAATGGGCCAACTACATTCAACACTGACAATGCTACACTGGCCCTGTTGATAAATATGCATTACATGAACATTTACAATAACATGTACATTTCACCAACACACTTATCTTCTTCTCTTACTCATATTTTCTTACTATCTTCTTCTCTACAAATACTTATATTTATAACCAGCCAGATCTCGATTGAAATTACTCAAACCTTCATCCAACCACGTCATCATTACATCATTATGCACAATCTGCATGGTTCAACTACATTAGTGACAATAATTTAAATAATTCAATTGGTATATGTTTCCAGCCACAGTTTGAAGTAGCAACTATCTCCTATTAAAAAATGAGATGGTGATAAAGTTTATGATGATACGAACAGTTCAGTTTCGGTCTTGTAGACAATTGTGACAAAGTTGCTTGGCTCGATGTTCATCTCAAGTTGGGCATTCTCAACATTCCTCTCGAAGGCCTCCACACTTCCAATGTTGAACCATATTGTTGTGTGCTAGTGACAATATGTACAATGTTAAAAAAGATAATCAACATTATCATTTTGTTACATAGGAATTGTTTTGGCCACAGGTAATGTACTAACAAGCCAAAGAAAATTTTAAAAACTATTTAACTACATTTATTGCTGTAATCAAAAAATTATAAGGACAGCCATGGGCACACAAGACAAACAAACTAACAGACGTGCACAGACAAACACAAACACATGAATTCAAAATTATTTTATTCAGCACAGGCTGAGAGATGGTGAAGTTCTAAGGAACTTGTACGGACCACCCAGAAACGTAAAAGTAAAAAAAAAATAATACAATTAATAAAAAAATAATAGTGCCATAAAATTGACCGAAAAAACAGTAATACTGAAACAGTGAATTAATGTTAGTGAATGAATAGTTACTGACAGATTCCACTTGAGTTCCAGGGAGCAACTTTATCCTAACCCATCTCTTGTTCACCACTTCCAACCTATCTACCTGTTTGGAATTTTCAAGCACGCTCATTTTATTTCATCAATGTTCATTAGAGACCCCACTTATTGATTCAGTTTGAATAAAATTAAAAAAAACTTTTAGACAAATTGATTTCAACTGAGATCTGACAAAGAACTAAAAACTGACCACTCCACGAGCCAGGTAATTGGTTAAGAATTCTTTCCATGTAATTTCTTCAAATTGAGGTTTATTTAAAGCAAACAAACCTGCACAGACGACACCCAACAACAGACCCATGAACAATTTGCTGTTAGGATCATTGGGGTCTCCTAAAGATTTACGACTTTGGGGAAAATTTTTTTTACTTTTTAAAACAAAAGAATTTTAATATTTATTAATACAATACAAACTGTTTAGTACAAAATTATTGAAAAATGGACTTACTCAAAACTGAACTCAAACTTTTTATCTGACTTTGGAGTGTCACTAGATGAAGAGGATGATGACTCTGCAAACACAAAATTCATAATTAGAAATATCCATTTAATTATATTTGAAAACATTATAGAAAGATATAAAATTCATTATTATGTGTAAACTGTAAATAAACTGCTAATTAAGAAAAAAAAAATATAAAAAATTAAAAAAAACTCTAAAAAATAACAGAAGCAAACCCCAACACAACCTCATATAATACAAACATCTAACATTCTAAAACTAACTTGTTTCAGGAGATCTATCAGCATTCCTAGAACTTTTTTGATCATTAGTTTTAGCACCTTTGAAAAACTTTTCAAAACCTTTAGGAATTTTTTCGGATAGAAAAGTGGAGTGATTGCCAGCAGAAAAGATATCTGATGTCAGTAGGCCAGTGGTGCAAATCGTGGCAGGTAAAAAACGAAAACCTGACTGTTTCTTTTAAGAAAATTATAAATTTTAATAAAAAATTCTTATTATGAACCTTTTATTAATTTCAGTAATTGAACCTGCAGACCTCAAAGGTAGAAATATTTTTGAGAAAATGTGAACTGATGACTGATGTTGAATTCTGTTTCAAAATATTACTCAACAGGAGCGTAGAAGACGGTCGACGCACAAACAGATATCTACACGACATTACGACGGCGTAATTTATAAATTATATTAAATATAAAAAAAGTTTTGTTAGGAAAGTTAGTAATATATATTTCAATTATTTATCATTTCATCATTCATTGCCGAATTAAAAGTAGTAGCTATTCGAATGCAAAGACAATTTTGAATTTAGTTTAATATTTGATAAAAACAAAGACAACGGCTGTAATTAATAAATATAAAGCAATTTCATCAAATTACGTATAGTACACGGTATAGTAATATGGATTCATATTTACATATAGAATAAAAGTATAATAAATAAATAAATATATAGGTAAGATTATTAAGATTACAACATCTTTCTGTCTGCTTCAACATCTAAAAATAGGTGGTCTGTTCTATCTAAACTTCTACATAAAAAATCTTCTCACTCATCTTTCTCTGCTCAACAGTTTCATGACTTTTTTGTAAATAAAATTACTTCTTTAAGAACATCTAATTCTAATTTTCCTTCTCATAACTTTACTAAACTTACTACTGAATCTTTCTCTGTATTTACTCCAATAAATCTTTTAGAACTAACTAAAATTATTAATTCTATGTCGTCTACAACCTGTTCTCTAGATCTACTTCCTTCTAATTTACTTAAAGAATTCTCTTCAATATTTTATCCAATCATTCTCAAATTAGTTAATTTATCTCTTTCCACCTCTAAATTTCCTACTTTTTATAAGAATTCTATTGTTATTCCTATTCTTAAAAACACATCCCTAGATCCTACCTCTTTATCTAATTATAGACCTGTAACTAATATTACTTTCATCTCTAAAATAATAGAAAAAGTTGTTTTTAATCAACTCTCATCCTATTTAGACTTTAACTCTTTGCTACCTGTATCTCAATCTGGTTTCAGACCTGCTCACAGTACTGAAACTTCTTTACTTAAAATACACAATGATATCCTTCTCTCTAGTGACAATAGTAATCTTACTCTTCTTCTTGCTCTTGACTTTTCTTCAGCTTTTGATACTGTTGACCATACTATTCTCTTGAGACTGCTGCATCTTTCTTTTAATATTACTGATTCTTGTCTATCTTGGTTTTCTTCTTATCTCTGTAATCGTTTTTATTCTGTGTTC